GCGACTCTTGTACACAGTCTTAATATTTGATTGGGAAGGTACAACCTCTGCTTCTATCCCTCAACATATGGGTGACCTATTTGCTTGTAAAAATATAAAGCCTTATCATTAATTAATAAAAAAAGGGGGATCTGTAGGGAGCCGTCCCTGCATTCTCCATTACAAGATGGCGCCTGCATCCGGCAGGCACCGAATGTAAACAAGATTATTGCGCAGGCGCTGGGTAAATTTCCATTCCTTGATCTCTGCCTATTCCGTGGCGTCATATGGCCGGATGAGCTACAGCCAATCATAGGGTGACACGTCCCAGGCGGCTGCTGCCAGCCTTTATTAGGGGACGGGATTCTTGGCTCAGTGTCTCCGATCTGGGAAGCTTATGCTCTCCTCTCAAGATGCATTAAAGCTTTCCTGCAGAAGGATCCGAGTGTCCCGTGTATGATTTCTTGCTGGCGAGGAATACAGAGCAGGCGCGGGACAGTCCACCTTTGCTTATCATGCATAATTCTACTAGGAATGCCAATGGACTTTTTTGTTTGAACAACTGTTTTCAATTCTTTTTCATGTATGTGCAGATGGGGTTCATGTGGCAGTTCTGTTTAACAATTCTAGTAACTACCAAATATTTTTAAATTGTCTTCATTATTTTACATTCCACTAGCAGTGTATGAATTTGGTAATTTTTTTAGTGCTGGGAAATGTTTGTTATGTTTCTCTTTCTTTTTAATAATCATGGTAGATGCTATTATATAGCATCTCATTAGAGTTGTGCTTTACATTTCTTTGGTGGCTAAATATGTGGAGCATCTTTTTATGCAGTTATGACTGTGTATCTTTTTTTTGGAAAAAGGACTTTTCCAGTCCTCTGTTTAGTTTTGATATCTTTATTCTTGGATTATAATATTTCCTTCAATAGTAGGATTATTTGTTTATTATTGGAGACATGATCTGAAATGTTATTTTCCATTCCATTGGTTTTTAATTTTTGTTTTCTCTGAGCAACCCTTGCCCCAGCATATCCCATAGGTAGGATAGACTGTAGGTTGAAGGTTATGTGGCTGGCTTGGTGTCCTAATTCCTCTACCAGAAGTCTTGCCTGATTCCAGGTGATGGTCAGGTTAGGTTACATATCCCCTATTGCTAGGAGACTTTGCTGGGGTCATCTTTGTAGGTTCCTGGGAGTTTCCCTTGCACCAGGTTTTTCTTTTTCCAAACCCCTAGCTCTGAAGCAATCAGTAGGTGATGGTTTTAAAACCTGATTCATGGTGTCCCATACAGCAAAGGATTACCAGCCTACAATCCACACTGCCAGAGAAACTAGGAAACAAGGAAGACTCTAAGAGAGACATATATGGTCCCCTGGAGAAGGCAAAATTGACAAGATCTCCTGAGCAAATTGGGAGCATGGGGGGAGGGGAGAGGGAACTAGGAAAATGAGAGGGGGAGAAGAGGAGGGGTGAGGATTTCATGAGGGAGCAGGAAGGTTGAGTTGGGGGAAGAATAGAGGAGAGCAAGATAAGAGATACCATAATAGAGGGAGCCATTATAGGTTTAAAGAGAAATCAGGCACTAGGGAAATGTCTGGACATCTATAAGGATGACACCAACTAACAATCTAAGCAACAGAGGAGAGACTACCTTAATGCCCTCCCTTGATAATGAGATAGATGACTAACTTATATGCCATCCTATAGCCTTCATCAAGCAGCTGATGGAAGTAGAAGCAGACACCCACAGCTAAACACTGAATTGAACTGGAATCCAGTTGCAGAGAAGGAGAAGTGAGGAGCGAAGGAGTCAAGACCAGGCTGGTGAAACCCACAGAAACAGCTGACCTGAAAAAGGGGCAGCTGTTGGTCCCCAGACTGATAGCTGGGAAACCAGCATGGAACTTATCCAGACCCCATGAATGTGGGTGTCAGTGAGGAGGCCTCGGAAATCTATGGGGCCTCTTGTAGTAGATTAGTACTTATCCCCAGCTTAGGAATAGACTTTGGGAGCCTTTCCACAAAGAAGGATACTCCTTGAGCCTAGGCCCTATCCCAAAGGATATAACGGACTCTGAAGATGCCCATATGGAAGGCCTCACCCTCCCTGGGGAACAGAAAGGGTGTGGTATAGTTAGGGTGTTAGTGGAGGGGCAGGGGAGGAAGAAAGGGAGAGAGAACTGGGATTGACATGTAAAACAATTTTGTTTCTAATTTAAATTTAAAAATGGAAAAAATTTAGAAAACACAAAATAAAAGATTTGACAAAAATAAAACCCGATTCATTAAAACTTTTCAAGATTTATAATGGGTAAGGCTAGTGCTAAAGACAAATAGTGGAATTTGTTTTGTTTCGAAACACCATGCAAGCATCTCCTGAGATACTGCATTTGAGTAATAAAGAATTAGTCAAGAAACTGGCAATTTCACATATTAGGTAGTTTTAAAATCAGTTCTTTTTGTTGGGATAATCTTTTTGTACACTGTGGGAAGATGTCTCTGTTTTACCTCACCTGCCTAAGGTGCCTTCTGATTGATTTAATAAAGACACGAACGGCTAATAGCTAGACAAGAAGAGAATATGCAGGACTTTATGGCAGAGATAGGAACACTGGGAAAGAACCTGAGGTGGGGGATTAGCCAGCCAGTTGTGGAGAAAGTAGGGCATGTGATACTGAGATGAGGTAATGAGTCATGTGGCAGAAAGCAGATTAATATAAAGGGGATAATTTAAGTTTTAAGAGCTAGTTGGAGGGTTTCCTGTGTTGTGGTGCAGTTGCTGCTTCAGGGAGCTGAGCTGAGAGCTTCAGTGATCTGGGAAACCACAAAATGATGAGAGCAATAAAGAAACTGGATAGAGAGCCACCTGCAGCCCCCTCAGCAGACCACCTATCCAGGGATACATTGTCTGTTGTTGACATTTCTTCCTTGAACTGACTGTTGGAGAATGGCATTGCCAACAAAGTCTAGCATCTTGAACCTGCTCCTCAACAAACAGTATGCCAGATCCCCAGAGGAAAGCTATGAGGCTTGGGCACAATGCAAAAATGCTGGCAGGAAGCTTCCTGAATACAAGGTAGTGGTGTTCGGTGCAAGTGGTGTTGGTAAAAGTGCTCTCACTATCCAGATGACCCACCACTGCTTTGTGAAAGAACATGATCCCACTGTCCAGGATTGCTACTGGAAGGAGGTGGCCCTGGACAACAGTGACTACATTCTGAATGTGCTGGACACAGCAGGGCTCTACAGTGACCAGTGCTTGGAAGCTGGTGATGCTGTGCTGGGTGTCTTTGCTCTTGATGACCCCTCATCTCTGGACCAGCTGCAGCAGATATGGTCTACCTGGAGCCTGCAACAGAAGCAGCCCTTGCCCCTGGTACTCTTGGGCAACAAATGTGACCTAGTGACTACTTCTGAAGATGCTCACACTGATGCAGCAATCCTGACTTAGAAGTGGGGAGTCTCCTTCATAAAAACCTCAGCCAAGACATGACAAAGTGTTCAGGAAGCATTTGCTCTGCTTGTCCGTGAGATTCAGAGGGCCAAGGAGGCTGTGGCTGAGTGAAGCATGGAGAAAACCCGACAACACAAAGCCATGTGTAGCTGTGGCTGCTCTGTAGCCTGAAGATCTTAGTCAAGCAAATTGACCCTTCTCTCATGTCATGTCAAGATAATTTCCTTGGCATAGGAATCCCCTCCTCCACCAAATAAGTAACCATGGACACCTTTTTATTCTCATTTGTTGAGGAGTTAGGTGTTAACTATGGGATGTCCAGCATTGGTGGTGATCTATGAAGCTCTATGCAAAATTGAATAAATATTGTTCATACTAAAAAAGAAACTTTATCTTGAAAACAAATTGCTATAGATACAATAGCTAAATAAAAATGTATCTGGGTAAAATGCTGTGTCCTGTCAAGAGGACAATTATTTTCCTGGGTTTAGATGTATGTCTGAGAGAAAAGTTTTGAGAAATCTTTGATGTGTTCCAAGAGAAATCCCTACTCTCTTTTGTAGCACATGGCCATAAGCTCTTTTTAAGTTTTCAAACTAATTTTTTAGATCATACCTACAACTTATCCACATTCAATTTGCTGTCCCCAAGCCTTACTATGACTGCTCACTGTTTTCTAATTCATGGCCTGTTTTTCTTAAACAACAGTTACACTGTAACAACAGTTACTGTTTGAATGTGACATACTTTTGGCAACAGTATTTCCCAGCTATGAGGTCAAGGGTTGGTGACACTGCACATTGGGTGTATAATTGAATGTGCGCAGAAAGGACCCTGTGTTCTGGACGAGGAGCAGGATGTGTTCTAGGAGAGTGGAAGAATGTCTAATAAAATACAAACTTTCTTGCCTAGGTGCTTGCCTTCTGGAAGGCCTGTGCTATTTGGGTCATTTGATCTCTTATCACCTGGTAGGTAGCTTACTAATATTCTAGGCCCAGCTGGATGGTCCTAGCCAATGATGGACTCTGGGAAGGCTTAGCAATCAGGAGTACTGGTGGCAGGTAGCTTGCAGTTTCTTTCCAGGATTCTCCTCTCCTTCTGCTCTAGGGAATTGTAAGGAAGAACCAAGCTATACTATGGTGAGTGTAGGTTGTTCAGAGCAGGTCTGCTGAGATGTCATTTTTGCTGAGATTTGCATGGACCATGAGACAGACTGTTTCTTTTGGGCCACGTGGTAACCATGGCAGTTGTCCTTGTCTCCTGGGCCTCCCTGTGTATATATTTCTTGGATATAGGGAGAATCTGCAGCCCTGGCAATGGAGGATATGATGTTTGTAATATCACTGTCCAGTGTGCACACACAGGCACTTTGTTTGGAGTACAGTAGGAACACTGCTTGGAAAACTTACAGTCTCATTAATGGAATTCCTGAATATTGCATTCCACTTTCAGGTTTGTCTTAACAATACTACAAATCGTTAAGAAAATGGTAGAAAGAGAGTGAAATCGATTGTATTTCCTCAATACATGATAAGAATGTTATTTTGTTTCTACTACACCAGCTGCAATAGTCAGATTCAGTAGAATTTAGTTGCAGGGGACAAAAGAAGGTTCTGTTCTTTAGAGATTTCTGAGGTATGTATGGTGTTGGAGAGGAAGTTTAGGCAGCATCCACATCTTGGGCCATAATCCATGTGACAGGAAGCAGATATTAATTTTTATTCTTCCATGTTGTTTTGAGATCGGGCATCAGTGGGGCTGGGTTTACGTGAGACCACAGGAGCCATAGCAAGAAATCTCCTTTTTAAAGAGAGCTCTTGTACATGGGGCTTCTGACTTTAGAAGAAATATCAGTAGCTGGAGGGTCAGAAACAACTGTTTTGTTGTTGTTGTTTTTCGAGACAGCGTTTCTCTGTGGCTTTGGAGGCTGTTCTGGAACTAGCTCTTGTAGACCAGGCTGGCCTCGAACTCACAGAGATGCGCCTGCCTCTGCCTCCTGAGTGCTGGGATTAAAGGCGTGTGCCACCACCGCCCGGCCAGAAACAACTGTTTAAGGTTCACTTTGAGTTAATTTCATTGGAGTTTTGAAGTCTGTGTTTACTTAATCTCTGTATTCATAGGTAGTTGGATAACATTTTTCAAGATCACACTTTTCCTGGATAAGTTTCTTTTCTTCTTTTGATTAGTAGTTGACTATATTTTCTGGCCTCTGTTTTTGGCTTTTTCTTTCCATCTTTATTCTTTTACAAATATTGTACATATTTTGATTATTGTAGCATTGTGGTAAGTACAAATGTAATATTATGTCAACCTGTGTACTAAGTTTTAATAATCACAATGAAAATTATGGTTTTTCCACTGTGAATTTAGCTTTTTTTATTTTATTTAATATTTTCTGAATGTAGCTTTGTAATCAGCATTTTGTTATAAATTGTTGAGCATTGTCATTATATGCTGCAACTTTTCCATATTTATGATGCATCATATAACAAATGATCACACATTTACTTTTTTCATTTAAGTTTTGTTATTCATCTGTGAAAGGGTTATCACAAAAAACATATTTTGGATCTTGGCAGATGGCCTCAGCACATCTTCTTTTTGGAATGATCAGAGTTCAGATACCAACATTCAAGCAGCTAATAATTATCTACATTCCATATCCTGTAAACATACAGAAATCATTCTCTCTTATGCACAAACATATGTAAAATTAGCAATAAACTTGGTAAATGGGTAAATCCGTGTACCATCAATTCTATTACCATCAATTCTACTCTTCTACAGCACAGTTTAGCTATGGCAGCCTATTCTACACTGGAGATTGTAGCATTAATTCTAATTGGTCTTAATTAGATCCACCTGCCTCTTATTTCCAAGTATTGAGATTAAAGTTATGATCCACCATGGCCTGGGCCTGTATGGCTAAATACTGCCTGTCTCCACTCTGGTCTTCAGGCAAGATTTTTTTGTTTGTTTGCTTATTTTTTTTTAGTTGGCTTTTTGTTTGTTTTTGTTTTTGAGACAGGGTTTCTCTGTGTAGCTTTGGGGCCTGAACTGGAATTCTCTGGAAATCACAGAGATCCACCTGCCTCTGCCTCTCATGTGCTGGGATTAAAGGCTTGTGCCACCACCACCTGGAAAGCTTCATTTGTTAAAGCACAAACAAGATCCTCCCACACTTGGGGAAACCATTTACAGGATCCACAGAATTAATGCCATATGGATCCTACTGAGGTGATGGGGTTCATCCTTCAGCAATAAATCATCAAAGTGCTTTTAACTTTCTGCTACCACTAGCTACAATGGTGTGATTTGGGAAAGTTGAGTTCCAGGGAACAAAAGGAATTTCTGATCTGCAGAAGTTTCTCAGGTGTGCATGGTGTTGTGTAGGCAGACAGGGCAGATTCCGCATGCAGTGTCAACGTACATGTGGTAGGAAGCAGACATTCAATTCTTCTTCTATGTTATTTTCTGTGTGGGCATCAATGGGGCTGGATTTTCCTCAAACCTCAAGGGTATATGAGAGTTTGCAGAACAATAGCAAGATATTGCCCCCATTTGTAGGTGGAACTCTAGACCATGGGCCCTCCCTGGAAGAAATATTGGTAGCTTGAGGGTCAGAAGCAGAACAGATTAAGGGTCTTTTGAGCTAATTTTGTGGGATTTGTGCAGTCTGTTTAGTTCATTTTAAACACATAGAATCACGGGTATCTGGGTAACATGGTCAAGATCTCAGGTTACCTGGCTGAGTTCCCTTTGGACTTTTGATGAACAGTTGATTACATTTTCCTGCTTTTGTTCTTGGCTTTTTCTCTCCATCCCCCTTATGCTTTTCTAAATATTGTATACCTTCTCCATTGCTGTAGATTTTTGTGAGTTTAGAAATCATTCTTTGTCAGTAAGTATACTATTTTTTGAAATAAAAAAAAGACCTAGTTGGAAGCAAGCCCAAGCTAATGCCAAGCTTTAAAAATTAATAAAGTCTCAGTGGTTGGTACAAAGAAATACCTGCTACATATTTTGTGTGTGTATGTGTGTGTTTGTGTTTGTGTGTGTGTGTGTGTGTGTGTGTGTGTGTGTGTGTGTGTGTGTGTGTACGCGCTAAAGGCAGAAGAGCAGATCTCCTGGAGCTGGAATTACAGTAGGCTTTGTGCTGCTGGGAACCAAATTTTGGTCCTTTGCAAATACAGCAAGTGCTCTTAACTTTTGAGCCATTTACAAAGCCTGGATATCCAGTATTTTGAACGTTTTTCCTCTCAGATATCACTGCTTTCTTCTAACTTAAAGGTCGATAAATTGATGCTTGAATCACACCATCAAATTAAACCAATTGATTGCAGAGATGCATGATTAGATAGTTAAATTAGATAGATGGGTATGTAAGTAGAGCTAGCTAGATAAACAATGTAATATACATTTGTTACTGATTTATTTCTGATTGACTTGTTAGCCTTAATACTGTTTCATTATTTCAGGTATAGGATACTGAAATATGGAAATGTTGTGTAAATAAGGTATGATTATTGAAATACATCAGATCTATTCATTTGTTTCTATTATATTAAATTTGTTTTGTACAGATGTATTATACAATTGCCATTTTCAGAACTGTTTTTTATAATGTAGTTTAAATTTAGAGTGATACCTCCCTCCTTTATTGAAAGAAAACAGAACATGTCACATTTGAACTAAGTAGCTAGTTACTCCCACATACAATTTCTAAGGATATAAAAAAGCTGTAAATTAAATATGAACTATTTTCTACAACCCATTTGCGAATCCTAAACTTATTGTGTTACAATCTCCAGTAAAGAGCCCATTTTTTATGTCTAAATGAATAGAGTTTGTGAATCCACCAATTTATATATGAAATATTTTATTAGATATATATGCATTTAAATACATACACATCTTCCCTACATGTATTTGGTTTGTAATTGTCCAATTTCCAATTTCTTTTTATTGTCATATGCTCATTGTACATTGTAATGGGTTTCATATAAGTATATCATGTATTTTGTCATACTTGCTCTCTGTAATCATTCCCCTTCACCCTCTTCCCCTCCCTTCTAGTTCCTTCCTTTCCCCAGTTTCACTTCTACTTTTTTTACTTTCATGATGCAGATGCCATAAATAATTTTGTCTACACAAATTCTAGGATTCCCAATGAAAGAAAATAAACATGTAATATTTGTCTTTCTGAGTCTCACTTATTTTGATGAGTGTTATCATTTTCAATTACACCCATATTCCTGAAGATGACATTGTTTATTTGCTACTGACATTTTCTATATGCATTCATCTTTGACTAACTGTTATTGTGAACAGTGATGTAACTAAACGCAGACATGTAATATCTCTGGTTTTTTTTATTAGTTCTAGTTAGGGAACAAGCTTATTTCAAGTCCCTTCTCCCTCTCCCTCCCCTCACCCCCAGCCCTCCTCCCCCATCCCCAGTCTA